TGTCTTTCCCCAGAGACCAGTATACAGGTAGAACATAATACTAGTATTTTGAACCAATATACTGCTTCTCATACCTAATTTACATAATTTGTTTTTTCTTGTTTTCTTGTAACAGGAATTGAAAACTTTCGGATTTAGTCCTGAAAACTTCATATTGTTTTATTTTATAGGAAAATTTTACATTTTTGTATTATCCGACTATACTTTTCTTGTCTTTTTCTAATTTCCTTTTTGCAATTTCTGGCAGACAAAATACATGATCTTAATACAGCGGTAGACGGATTAGAGGGCGTGTCAGACCTCGACCCTGCTCTAGAATGAGGATGTTCGAAATCATGGTATGTATAGTGTAATTTTGTTTAGTAACGTTTTTTTTACCTGTGAATATATTATAGGTACTCTTTAATCTGTGTACGTCATTATAGATTTAACCGTACTTTTCTTTTTAACAGCATTCACTTGAAGAGAGTAAGAACTAACAGGTTAACGTCGAAGCTCGATAGCTATAAACCGGTAGAGCAGGCAGGATTCCGAAAGGGTTACAGTACAGCGGATCATCTTCTTACAGTCAGAACTCTAATAGAGAAAGCCAATGAATATCACTTAAACTTATACATTGGCTTCGTTGATTATGAAAAGGCATTCAACTCCATAGAACTTTGGGCAATGGAGAGAGCTATGAACAACTGCAGGATAGACTCCCGATAAAGAATGCTCATACATAATATTTACAAGAAAGCTACAATGAAAATACAAATAGATGCGAAAACCAAAGCTATACCAATCAACAGAGGAGTTCGCCAGGGAGATGTTATCACACCAAAGCTATTTAACTTGGACTGGAAGACGTGTTCAAAGACATTAACTGGGCAGATAAAGGAATAAATGTTAAAGGAAGAAAACTAAGTCATTTGGAAAGATCAATGCTCGGGGTGAGACTTATAGACAAAAAAATCAAACAAATGGATTAGAAGCAAAACGAAAGTAAAAGACGCAGGAGAACATGCTTCCAAATTAAAATTGAGCTTCGCAGGACACAATGCCCGACTGAAGGAGAAGAGATGGAACCACGAAATACAACAATGGAGACCATGGTTAGGAAAAAAAGGCAGAGGAAGACCACAAATGAGATGGGCGGATGATATTAAGAAGATCGAAGGACACAATTGGAAGTGACAGGTGACGCAAACCAGAAGACACTGGATTGATTTGGGGGAGGCCTATGTCCAAAGTTGGATTATTTAAGGCTGAAGAAGAAGATTCACTTGAAACTGGAGTTACCAATACAAATAAGATAGTACATGAAAGAAAGCGAATGTTGTCTTGTGTAATAGAAAATTTTCAATGAAATTATAACTTAATACGAAGCAATGCTGAGTATTAAGATCCTAGAATTAATGAGATAGCAAGGTTCAATAAAATGTAGTGGGATACAGTTAAATCGATGTATGAACATGTTTTTAATGCGAATTTACTAACCATAATATAATATGTAATTGGAATTAAAACTCCGGAAATTTGATCTGTATACATTAAGTTTCTTTATTGTATCGTTGATTCACTTTGTACAAGGGATATTTGCACTGTATCCAAAATTATCATTAGTAGGTACCTCAATTACCTTATGCCAATCATAAGGAAACAAATTTGGTTACGCCTACTATTTTTTATCCTTTTTAAATTCCCCTTTTTCCTGAAAATATTGTCCGTCAACTCATGTACAACAAAATTCATTAAAACTTGAATGAGATAACATATTTTGTGTCTAGACACATCATCTTGTGTTGGCTACAAAAATATGGACACTTGAGACATATCCGCTGTTATTTTACACCACTTAATTTCCTCAACGTTCTGTTTTTATTCGAAATATTAGTGTTTTATAAAATATACAGTGGATATTGACAATATACAATAGACAGTGATTGCAATATTTTCTTAAAGCTGATTATTTATTATTGTACTTTCTACGTCAAATGTGACGATATTCCGAATCTTAAATTTGGGGATTTTAATTGAAAATTGCATGCAGTCGACGAATATCAAAAACTGGTTATATATCAAAGTACTCTGCATCGAATCAAACGCAGTACTTTAAGTAACTACGATTCTAGAGAGCAATTTAGTACAATGTGAAATAAGATGATGTTTTTAGATTACCAAATCTTACAGAACGTTCGAAACCGCGTGATTCTAATTGTAGTTGAACTTTCTAATATATTACTGTATTAATCTCAATCGTGAATGTATAATTGTTGTAGTTATAACTTCCTTAACTGCTTCGTAAATTGCATGAGTGGCAAAACGCGAGATACGACCCTGAATGAATGCCGAGTTTCCGATCTTTAAGCCGATCTAAGGAGTTCGGTGACTCCGAGTTTCAAGGCTAAAATCTTAAGAACAAAAATATGGAAAGGCAAAAGTAACAAAGACAGAAAAGGAAACGAATGGTTTAGACAGTTATTTGAAGTGAGGCATGTAACAGAGTAAGTAGGTAAGGTAACACAACAGTGGGAATAAAGTAATGAAAAAGACTATCTCAAATAAGATTTGATTGAGAATCTTAGAAATGTAGAGGAACAAGATGAACGGAAGCGCACTCGATAGAGATTTGCAGAACAGACAAACTTACGTCCAATAATGTAGGGCTAAATAGAGAAACAAAATGTGAAGTAAAATTGCTGGAAACGCAATAGAATTGAATTGTATTTTTAGTTTTTACCTTAGTTCTACTACTTTGATTTCATTAATTACTTCAAAAAACAGTTTAATAAACACTGTACTACACTTCGTTCACTGTAAAAGGACCATAACCTCATAATTACAAAATAAACAATGTTGCCAGTCTATAATTAAATTTATTTAATGACAAGTGATTGGATCAAGCGGTTCTATGAAAAATAAAAAAGAATTTCGTCATGTACCATCAAAACACTTTTGTGGTCAAGTTGATTATTGTAGTAATCAAGACTCTGAGATGTGAGTAAAATGGTCTTAAGGTATTGTATGTAAACTATGGTATGTAAAATAAGGCAGAATGAATTGGTACCAGAAGAGTGGCTAAAGCGAATATGTCCGTTGCATAAAAAGGGTGATCAACTTGAGTTTAAGAACTATAGAGGCATTGCTCTAATAGCATCTGCGTATAAAATCTTCGGCAATGTATTGTTTGACAAAGGATATTGTTGATTTACAGCTGGAAAGTCAACTACACATCAAATTCAAGTACATAGGCAAATTCTATAAAAGTTACTAGAATGTAACAGATACCCACCATCTCTTCGTCGACTTCAAAGCAGCCTACGACATTGTGAAACTAACTGCATTATATAATACAATGATAGACTTTGGGATCTCACCTAAGTTAGTTAAGTTGACCCAACTAACAATGCATTGAAGAATTGAAGGAGAAAACTCTACGTTCTTTGCCATTAATAATGGTCTGAGACCTAAGACAGGAGGACGTGCTGGCGTGTCTCCTCTTTAATATTGCCTTGGACGAGGTAATCAGGCAATTATATATTAGAATGAATGGAACTATTTTTAATAGTTCGACGCAAACTCTCGCATTCGCTAACGATATAGTTATAGTGGGCAGAAGTATGAGAGACATGGTGTAGTGTTTTACAGGGCTTGCGGATGCAGCAAGTTAATCAGGACTTTTGGTAAACAAAGAAAAAACCAATAATATGTTGGTTTCTAAAAACCCCCGAAATATCCAATAGAGAGTCAAATAATTCACATATCTTCGATCGCTAGTAAACGCAACAAACACGACAAGCGATGAAATAAAAAGACGCATAGCAATAGCCAACAGAACTGTTCACGGTCTCCAGAAGCATTTAAAAAATAAAAATATAAAACGTACTTCTTCTTCTTGCAGTATCGTCTCCTATCGGAGGTTGGCTACCATCACAGCAATCTTTACTTTGTTGGCTGCAGGTACAGTAAAGCTCAATATATATAAAACCTTAATAAGAGCGGTTTTGATATATGGGGCTGAAATGTGGACCTTATCCCAAAATTATGAAAGACTTCTTGGCATTTTTGAGAGACAAATTCTTAGACAATTTTTTGGTGCCGTAAATGAAACGTGCTATGGCGTCGAAGATACACCTTTGAACTATACCAGTTATGCACCGATCCAGATATTGCGAAACTCGTTAAAGTGCAGAGACTTACATAGGCTGGACACATTGCTAGGATGTACGATAACGAATACATGAAGACATTACCATTTTCAAAACAAGAGAGCTAAAGAAGCAGAGGACGAACACGAAGGAAATTGATTGATAATGTGGAAGAAGCTCTAGAAGACACATTCTAAGGGCCAAAAGATGGAGGGAAGTTGGCAGGTATCGACTTCTTTGTGAGTAGGTCAAGATCTACAACGGAATGTCGAGCCAATTACGATGATTATGTAAACTATTTTTGTTAAACTTATACAAAAAATTTAAGCAGAGAAATAGAAAAATTATTTTAGTCAAAAATAAAAAGACGCAAACCATAAATTTGCCTTGGTAATTTGATGTTACAACCAACAATACTTTTCGCAGAAGCATATCTGTGTAATTTCCTTATAAAGAGCAGCGTTCTGAACTTCCTCTAAAAAAATTGGACTCTCGACCCATTTTCAGATGTTTTGCTCTATATTGAAGTTCATCATCAGACTGTGGCCGATTAAAAGCCCTGTCTTTCTGTCTCCGAGTTTATCTTCGACCTATCATCATCTAATGAGCCAATAAAGGGCGAAACTTGTCATAGTGTTGCTAAAGTATAAATTTTTGGATAAAAGCCAAGGGATCGATGTTTCTGCGTACAAGCTTTATTTAACCAAGCATTGATTTTCCTAAAAAAAATTTGTTATTTCGCTAAATCTATCTGCCAAAATTCCCAAAAATTTATTATAATAAACGCCAACAAGGTTTTAAAACAAACTGGTATGATACTAGTGAATTTAAATCATTTATTATTAACATTATTAATTATATTAACATTCTTTAAATGTAGAACATAAGAAAAATTCGACTCATTGTACTTTGATATATATTAAAAACCGCTCGTTGCCCAACCGCATATGTAATAATGGACTTCCCCAAATTTTCAAAAAGAATATCATTCGTTACTTTTGAAAGGTGGCGGCTTTCGAAAAAGTTGCAGTGCGTGAGGATTAAGCTACAACTAGAAAAATGAGAGGAAGGATGGGAGGGGGCAAAATTTTCACAAGGAACCAGTCTCCCGATGTTTTTAGTCAAAATCCCTACATCACATAACAATAAGAGCTTAAAGAAGTAAGTCGTTAGGGTCGTTGATAAATGTTTGTAGGGTTTTTCGATTAAGTGGTTGTTTTTATACTCCCTAATATCTACAATGGAAGCTTTAGGACGAAGTATCTCCTTCCAATCAGTCATTATAGCGATGCATGTAAAATAATACGCAGAAGTATATTATATTTTGGCTCGTTTCTTTCAAACAATGTAGGTTTTTCGCTTATAAACAAATCATATTGATAATCACAAGCGACATGCTCCTTATTATTTTAAATTTTACACATCTCAACTAAAAACCATCTAAAAATTTCCTTCACAAAGAAATATCGTAGCAATAAATGTTACACTCATAATCTTGACCGATGATATATGACAGCTGACATTGAAAGCAAAGATTTCTATACATTTCAGTGTAATTTATGACACATGACGTGATGTGACATGCTGTCGGTACTATATGCTTATTGGTGCCTCCAAAGAATAGAAGTGTCTCCTTCTAATCACAAATTATTGTGATGCATAAAAAATATGTAAATGTATAACAACACGCTACTATATTGTGGCTCATTACTCCAATCAATTAAAGTTCTGATCGATCATATTGTTAATTGAAATGTTTTCAAACATTTTTAAAATTAATTAAATGTTGCATCTCTCAATCTGAAACGATCTAAAAAGTTATGTTTACAAATAAATATGATGCCGATGTTTGTTACACCCAAAATCTTGAAAGATGACAGATTTGGTTAACGATGACAAATTGACGATTGACAATGACACCAAAATCGGAAACATATTAGGTTCCGTCGTTTAGAACAAATTGGTAATCCTTGAAAACGCCAGAACCTTCTTCATGACTTTTTTAAGTTAACCTTGAATCAATATGATTGCTTATATTTATACCTTTAATAAATTTTAATGAAAAATAAAATATATAAATAAGTTTTTAGAAAATACATTATCTTATGATAAACTCATCGCTAATGAACTAAATGTCAAACTACAAACCTCTACAAACTTTTGATTCATACAGTGTGCGTATATAGAAAAATTTTGATTTAATTCTCTACATCCCGTCGCCTTCATTCTTTAAGCAACAATTGTTCACTTACCCTAACTTCTAAAACTCTCTAATCTATATTTTTTGTTTCACAACTGGTCTGCTACACATCAACTACGATAATGAAGCATATTTTGTAAATGTATGCCCTCTAACGAAAATAAATGTGAAAATTAACCTATTTAAACCTTTGCACTGCGTTTGTTGCGTATCTTAGCGAACCGCCTCGTCTTCTTTTTTGGCTGCTCGTCCATTACCTCTTCGTCGACTTTTCTTTTCACCTTGACGGGAAGCGTCTCTACCGAAGTGCTTGGCTGGTCCAACGGAATTAACTTCTTTTCTAAAATTTTTAAATCTTCTTCGACCACTTTAGAAGCTTCTAAACTTTCCAAGTTTACTAAATCAGAAATTGGTTCTACGGCTAAACCTACAACATTAAATAAAATAATTGGTAATAATTTATAAATTTTAATAGTTCTGTACTGTCTCCGGAAAAGTGTCAGGCAGAAGCTGACAGCCGTGCCGGACGCATTTAGAAATTCGGAGAAATACTTGGAAATTCCAAGTGTGGGCAAATCCGAATTTCTAATTGACTCGATGCAGGGAAATTCCACTTTTGCTACATAAAACAAAGGATTTGTTTTATATAAAAGCAGATGGAATTTCTCTCATCGGTCAGTCGAACTTGCCTCTTCTTCTGTAGACCTAGTCGGTGCTATTATTGTTCCGACTAAGCTATTGTTTTATTTTTTATTTCCTGATAACCATTTATATTTTATTATTGTATATTCAGATCTTTTCAGGTTAGAATATTACTTTGACTTATATTTGTTCATATACTGATTATTTGATATTTTATTTGATTGTTTATTTTTCTTGTATTTTGTATCTAAGTTGTTCTTCTGTAAGTTAAGAACACTTAGAACTATTTACCTTACTTTTTTCTATTTTATAAATTTGATTTTGTACTTTGTGTCTAAGTAGTTCTTTCCGGTAAGTCAAAGAACTCTTAGAAATATTTCTCTGATATTTGACTTGTTAATTTTATTGTGTGCTTAAGTCATTCTTTTCCGGTAGGTCAAAAGAACACTTAGAAATATTTTCATAATCATTATTGCATTATTATTTCCGATATTTATCTAAGATATTTTCTTAATATATTTGTCTCTTTTATTTTACCATTTCATGCTGAGTTGTTTCTTCCGTAAGTCAAGAAACACTTAGCAATATTTCCATATCTTTTCTGTATTTGATTTTCTTATTTTCTATTATAAGTTGTTTCTTCCGTAAGTCAAGAAACACTTACAAATATTTGTATTCTTATTTTACTATATTTGATTCTCTTGTTTGTTTTCTGTTCTAAGAAACACTTAGAAATATTTCCATACATTGTTTCATATTTACATATTTCATTTATCTATATTTCTGTCTTAAGTTGTTTCTTCCGTAAGTCAAGAAACACTTAGGAATATTTCTGCACTTTTCTGTTCTTTTATTCTTGTGTATTTTACTTTTCATTCTAAGTTGTCTCTTCCGTAAGTCAAGAAACAATTAGAAACATTTTCTGTGCATTGTATTTTTATATACCATTTGATTTCCTTGTTTACTAAGTTATTTCTTTCGTAAGTCAAAGAATACTTAGATTATTTTACCTGTTCTGTTTTCTATTTTGATCTGCTATTTTGTAACTGTTCCTTGGAACTGTTACCTATAACAGATACTTGTCACGGTAACTGTTATTTTATACCAGTAGCAGTATTAACACGTTTTACCAGCGACAAGCAAAGATGGTCAACACCCAATCAAATTCCGGGGACAGGAAGAAGTCCGAAGAGCCGGCGATGGGTCCTACAGGCCCAAATGCCCCCTCTCGACAACAGTACCAGTAATTGTTTACCCATTTTTCTTAGGATGGTATTTCAGAGTTGTATGTCTCTGGTGGCCAGCTATGTCATTCACACAGCAAATTTTTTTTGTCTCCTTGAGTCTGGGAGATCGGATATAAAAGGATGAGGATGAATAGGAGAGGAGCCAGATCCATGTCAAATGTATTTTGTCGGTATTTTGTAGTATTTGCCGTTTGTGGAGTGTACAATGGGTCGAGGTAAAGATATCGATGAGAAAATTTGTTCAATGATTATTAGATTTATCAATTCTGGAAACTCCAATTCGGAAGACGCATTATAGTGAAAAATCGACGTGCGAATTATATGGAGTTAGGCGTTTTATAGAGTGACGTTATTGGAAGCCACGTTTCTAGATCAACATGTCACCGAGAGGCCCACAAATTAGGATTTGGTACTTACAAAGTAAGACCAAAAATTGACTATGACCACTTCCATAACAAAATATAACGAACGCCATAGAAAGTGCCGCAGCGGAAACTATAGGAAAAGAAAGGAATACCAAGAAGAAAAACCAGTGTTTTGACCAGGAGTGCGAACAAAGCTTGCACCAGAAAGCAATCAAGAGGCTAGAGTTACTAACACGCCCCACAGATGAGAACGGGGAAGACTACAACAGAGTAAGGACTCAAACGAGAAGACTTTTGAGAAGAAAAAAGAAACAGTACCTAGAAGCGCGAATACAGCAACTGGAGGAGGAACATAGAACCGGTCAGTCTAGACAATTTTATAAGGACCTAAAACAATGAAGGGCAACACGATTAACAGCCAAGATTTATAAAAGACGATGCAGGACAACTGCTCACAGACGACGAGGAGATAAGCCGCCAATGGAGAAAATATTTTGAGCAACTCTTAAATACAGAAAAACCCACAATGACAGGGCAACAAAGACAGTACCAGTTAGCCGAACTTGAAATACCAGGGCCCACACTAGCTGAAGTGAAGTCCGCAATTTCGTCCCTAAAAAACCATAAAGCCCCAGGCCCGGGCGGCATACAGGCGGAGCTACTAAAAAAAGGGGGAGAAACGCTCCACCTTGAGATATATCATCTTATAAGAGAAGTCTGGGAAAGAGAAGAAATACCGAAACACTGGCATGAAAGCCATATAGTACCTATCCACAAGAAGGGAGACAAATATGTCGGAACTATAGAGGAATATCGTTAATCAATACAACATACAAAATTAAATCCATATTACTGTCTAGAAGACTAACTCCATACGCAGAGGAAGTAATAGGCGACTACCAAAGCGGAATCAGACTGGGAAGGTCAACCGTAGACCAGATATTCGTCCTACGCCAGGTGTTGGAAAAAAACTGGGAATTCAACCGCGATGTACACCAAATCTTCGTGGACTTTAAACAAACTTATGATTCTGTTAACAGAGAAGCATTATGGGAGACCATGGTAGAAATGGGAGTACCTGGAAAGCTGGTACAATTAGCACATGTGCGCACACAAAACGCTTCGTCACGGATCAGAATTGGCAGCACCACATCGGAGGAATTCATCATTGACATTCCTCATTGAGGCTTAGACAAGGAGATCCTCTCGCCCCCTGCTATTTGAGATAGCAGAGATGCAAAAGAAGTTCTCACCCTATTCGAAAACGGAGCCAAGGAAGTTGGTCTGAAGGTCAACGAGGACAATACCAAGTATTTGGTGGTTACGAAGAACCAAAGGCAAAGGGTTAGACAAAACGTAACAATCAATGAATACAACTTTGAAGACGTGGCAGTCAGGATCATTGCAGGAAACAGGGCATATTACTCATTAATGACCGTACTTAGCCACGTGCTAAGATCGAGTGACTAAAGACTCCTGAACGCCACATTCTGGGAAAGGCCCGATGGCAGAAGGTCAGTTGGTCGCCCAAGAAAGAGATGGAAGGACGCAGTAGCCAGTGATCTACGCAAAATGGGAATACAGCAATAAGAAGTAGCTGATCAGGACCGACAACAATCGAGAGAAATAGTAAACGCTGCCAAGACTCACATAGAGTTGTAGAGACAAATGATGATGATGATCATAATGACTTACAAAGTAAGTTTTATGGTTGAAAAACTTGGTACGAATTGTTTTCAATAAATTTAATTTTAATTTATGCTAAGGAAAAACCACTTTTAACATTGCAACAAAAATAGACTAAGATGGTCAAAAGAGCATAAAGATTGGACTCAGTCGCAATGGAATTCAATACAATGGAGTGACAAGACCAGATTTGAAGTGTGTGTTGGAAACAGTAGGAGTCGCGTCATTCCAAGGAAAAATGAAGCTGTCCATCCAGACTGTCTGAAGAGAAAAGTCAAATTTCCTGCATCTGTCATGATCTGGGGCAGCATGTTGTCTAACGGTGTGGAAAAGTTATATTTTATCGATATTGTACGGACAAATATTTGAATATTTTGTTTTCCAATAGGACGACGCAGGTTCACATAACTCAAAAAAGAGTTTAAAATAGACTAAGGACCATGGCATACATTTCTGGAATAGGTTTTTAACAATCCCGATAGAGACTTTGTGGCGCGAAATGAAAAAAGCTTTGAGAAAACATCCTGCCAGGTCCGTCAACGAATTGAAGGAAAAATTGCAAGAAATATGGGATTCATTTACATTATAATTTTGTCAGAACTTGGTAAAAACTATGCCTCGAAGAATTGTGGATGTCATTAATTAAAAATAAAGGTGATGTAACTCAGTGGTAAACTTTCACATTTTTTTTTGTTAATATTGAATATTTTGTGCGTTTTTTAAATTCATGATTATTCTATTTAATCAATAGTTTTCATTACGTTATAAAATATTTTCTATAATTATATAATTCAAAATGTTTTTCGATCATTAAAACTTCTAAAATTTACGCTGCGCTTTTTTTTCTTATCAATCTAACGTTGGAACAACTGAAACGGGAAGAGGCTCGTGCGGGGCATTGTGGAAGCTCCTTATACATAAGTTTTGGTTTACTTACTACTCTGTTCAGAGTTTCTTAGAGATTTCTGTTACTCAGCATACTTTACATTAAGCGTACCATTGGCTGTCAAGGAGTCACTCTGACAGTGTCATAGGCTGATGTTAGGACCAGAAATACAGCATGTTTTCAGTTTCTGTTGAAAACCAGATTCTATGTAGGATGTGAATGCCAGTACTTAGTCCTCTAAAGCTTGTCTGTTCTATTGGTGAATTTTCAGAAATAAGGCCACTAAATCTCATATGAAAGTCGTTCAAAAAGTTTGTAAATGTTGTATTATTTTCCTGGCTATTATTTTTGATTTTTTGAACTTCCTAAGGAGGTGTGGTTTGCTATACACGTTATAGAAGAATTATGACAGCCACCTTATTACGGTTTTACCAGCATGGATGGGAAATTCTGGTTGAATACTGTCAAAACCTGGGTCTTTTGACAGCATAATACAATACTTCTGAATTTTCATGAATGGGCCAGACAAAATTCAATTATTTAAAGATATTTTTTTTGTATTAACAAACAACAAAACAAAATAATTTGTTTAATTTGTGTTTTGAACAAGATTTCTGAAGTGCAATCAAAACATCAAAATAAACGAATAAAATATGGAATACTTACCTAATCCCTCTGGATTAACACCTTGGTTCATAAGAGCTTGCAATTCCTCTGGTTGAGGAGCAATAGCATTGCCGCATGTGTTGCAGAATGGGGGAGTGGTTGGAGACCTGCACCTCCAATATTGCAACTCTGTCTTGCATTTGTTCAGCTCTTGGAGTAGTGTACCTATAACAATTCGTCATCATTAATAAAATTGTCAATTATTAAAAAATTCGCCTGACTTATCACAGTGGAGACAATATTTAATCAAGTGAATTAGCTAGAATAGAAACTATAATGAGATGTTTTTTAGGCTATGAAAGGCTTAAAATTTATGGCATCAAAATCATACATTTTGTTTTCCACGAGAAAAATGTTTAATTGAAGATTTAGAAAAAAATCACTTATCATTCATGTCATAAATGGAACATCTTAATAAAAAGTAACAAAGATATTTAATTGAGCATATTTAACACCTTAACTTAAAAAAAACATATTAAACATATTTTACCTTCGATAAATCTTGATAAATAGTACTTACTAAATTTCCGTGAAATTTCTTCATTCTTTTTGTCATATTCGTCTAAACGTGTAGCATATTCTAAGGTCTGTTTCTGTTGATCAGCCAGCTGTTTCTGTTGTTCAGTTATTTGTTTCTGTTGATCGGATGTTTTCTTCTTGCAAGATCTCAGATCTTGTCGCAACAAACTGAGTTGATTATTGTACCGTTTCATGCCCTGCTTGATTTTGCGAATACGTTTTCGAAGGACCATATTCGACTGCGGAATAGTTTCCACCATGTCCTCTCCGCTTTCTAGTTCGTCGGTGGATGCGTGTCCACTATCTTTTGACGTTTCCACCAGCAGCGATGAAGAGTCTGAAAAAGATTAGATATTCCAACATAATATTTTTTACTGTGTAGTATTATTTGTAATATAACCTATAACTATATATTTGGACAAAATATACAGTAGTCTCTCTTTATAACGATTCTCTATATAACGATAATTCCTCTATAACGATGAAAATAGTAAACGTTGTTTGGTCCGTCATAAGAACAATGTATTAATTCTTTCTCTATACCGATATCGTTCTCTCTTTATAGCGATGATTTTCAGCGTTCAATAGTCGATGACAAATGTGTTATTTTATTTAAAGTTCAGACTACCTCAGTCACGAGTGGCAAGGTCATTGTCCAGCGGTTGTTATTTTTGCGAGTTGTGTCTTAGTCAGTCAATATGTTTTCGAAAAAGCCTAAAGTGCTCTCGGTGCAGGAAAAGTTATCGATAGCTCAAGCAATTGGATGTCGGGGCTATCTCAGTTAACTGTGGCTCCGATATGGAAGAACAGAAAAAAGTGGCTTGAAGCGGAGATGAAGGGCGGTAACAGGAAGAAGTTGCGGAAATCTCAGCAGCAGCGTATGAATCCATCACTTTCTGGGCTGGACAAAAGCTGAGTTCTTTGCAACTGAGCTTGGAATTGAGAATTTCAAGGCATCTGAGGGTTGGCTGAGCCAGTGGAAACTGCGGCATAAGATCTACAACTACGGGCACAGCAGCGGAGAAGCTCGCGATAGTAAGGGATGATTGGCTAGAAAACGTGTGGCCTGGATTAAAGGCACGATATGCGTCAGACGACATTTTCAATGCTGATGAGACTGGATTCTTTTCTAAAATGACATTAAACACACACACACACACACACACAAACCCACGTTACTTTAAAAACATAAAAAATCTACGGGTGACCTATAAAGCAAACACGAGTGTATGGATGACTGCGGAAATTTTTGAAGAAACGATAAAAAAGTGGGATAATAAAGAGCTTAAAGGGAAAACATTCTTCTGCTTGTGGACAATTGTCCTGCTCATCCTGTACTGTGCGACCTTTAAAACATTCAACTTTGTTTTCTTCCAAACACAACGAGTGTCCTTCAGCCCATGGACCAAAGTGTCATCAAGAGTTTGACAAGCCATTACACGAGAAGACTTTTGATGTAATTGGTTGAGAATAATGGCGATCTTAAACAAAACATTTTTGACGCCATCCTAATGGTTAGTAAATCTTGGGACGAGGTGACGAGCAATACAATAAAACATTCCTTCAAACACGTAGGATGGTTCGAAGATCAAGGATTGACTGATGATGAAGATGACCTGCCATTAGATGTTTGGACCAGACAGTTTGAACTTACTACCACCTACGGACCGGAAGAGCTAAACAGATTTTGAAGAATACAGTGACCCGGAAGTGGAGGCAGAGCCAAAACCAGCTCCGAGCCCTCAGCAGGAAACCAACCTCACTCTCAAATTTATATAAAGTAGCGGGTTTTGCAGAACCCTCAACACGCAGAGGCGTTGCAGAGCACATAGAGAAAATTAAACAGATCTCGGACGAGCGGCATGCCCTATACTAGGCCCAAACACCACGACAGCAACTAAAATCCAGGAAAAGATTCCTTGGAACAGTGCAGGATAAATCGCCTGAGTATATTTTTCTTCCCCAGGTTCAATGGACCGGCCAGTCCCTAGACTTTAAAACTTGGAAAACTATAAATAGGATAAGAACAGGGGGGGTCGCCCAGTAAAATCAAACATGGTAAAATGGGGGAAAATAGACCAAGATAATGTGAACTGTGACTGTGGAGAAGCACAGAATATGGAACATCTTCTGACATGCAGAAACATGCAGAAATTTATGGCTAGCCAACAAAGATGGAACCGACGTAGACCGATAATAGGTCGAAATTTTATGAATGACATGAATGTCCGGACACGATAAAAAATAGCAGGCATTGGATGCGGCAAAAGTACTGCATCGATTCTTCATCCATCAAGAAGACGATATGAGTGCTGTGGAAGATTCTATGTGTCTTTAGGACATGGTCAGGTCAGTTCTGTGAAAAGGGAAAAGGAAAAAGACCAAGGTCACAGACTTTTTTTGGTAATGTAGGCTAAATATATTTTACAGTGGTGTATTATTTTGTTAATGTACAGTACACATGTTTTAATTGTACAGTCTTCTTCAATAAATCTATGTGGTGTACAATACAGTGTTAATTCATTTATATTCGTTTTGATACATTTTTTAAATTAGAATAGGTTATTTAGGACAGTATTATTAATACAGTACCGAATTTTGTCTCTCTCTGTATAACGATCTCTCCTTATAACGATGAAAATTCTTGGTTCCTTGCATATCGTTATAGAGAGAGGACTGTATAACAAATTCATGTGTTTGGTAACAGTTACCAGCTGAAGTCCGTTTGAAGAGGTTTACTCTCCGGACGCTGGAACGTGTATGTTACCTAAAGTTAAATTTAATTTAATATTAAACATCAAATATTAATAACAACAATATGTACAATCTTTTGTAACCTTATGTATTTTAAAGGGTTTTCACCCTGATATTTTGGTGGCTCAGGCATGTTAACTTGCATTTTTAAACCTGATGATGGAATTATTATTCTGAAAACGTTCGTGTAATTTGATGTAGCCCTTTTAAGGGTTTTTTAAATATACCCATTTACAAAGATCCACCCTCTTTTTTTGCAATTGTTTTGGCCTAAAACAATCGTTTTGCTTGCTTATAAATTTTAAGTTGATAAAGGAAGTCCCAAACTTCATTATTCCGCGATAAAAATCTTAATATAAATAATAAATAAAACTTACATAAACGAGATCTTTTAAAATTTTCTTATTCTTGTCCCGTTATTTTTTTTTGTCAAAAATAGAGCCCCCTAGCCTTCAATTCTGTCTTAACACGATCATAAGGACCTCTAGGTTATTTAATAGAACTCTGTGGTCCCTTTATATAGTTATTAAGGCTCGTATATAACCAAGGAAGAGTGGGTTCATAAAGTGTAAAGAAATGTACACCACAATTTTTATCGAATGGATTGTATGTTACTTTCGTAATCATCATCACAGTCATTAACATCTTAGTAGATGTGTTGTGGTTCATAATTGGGCTTCAGCAGCTCGGACAGTTTGATTGATAATATTTCTCCACTGGTCGCGGTCATCAGTTATATGTATTGCCTCAGTATACTGTTTATTGAGAAGCTTTTTAGTAATGTCCGCCCATCGCTGTGGAGATCTTCCGCGTTGGCGTTGAGTCTGAGGCCTTCCTTGGACCACCAACCGCTCCATTTTGTGATCACTTCGATGGATATGGCCAAAGAACTTTAAAATTCTAGAGTAAACGGTACTGGAGAGACGCTGATCCGGTTTAATTTCATCCAGAACCGAGATATTTGTACGGCGAGCCGTCCATAGAATTCGAAGCAGGCGTCTCCATGTCCACATTTCAAAGGCGTCTATACGTCGTCGATCTGATTCTTTGACTGTCCATGTCTCGCATGCATAGTAAAATATGGAAAAGACCAGAGTTGAAACGAGTCTCTTTTTGTTTGTCTTACTTTCGTAATAACAAACAATATTCTTAGCTGGCGGTGAGAGTATTAAAATCTTTTATAATTATTATACTATAAAACTATATAAAAGTAATCTAAAATTATTACTAAAAGTCTGTACTTTAATAACAAGTTTTTATCAGCCAATATTTCTTTAGTGATAACTGATGTTAAATGATAATAACTTAATAGTAGTTTTCCAAAGCATCACAAACATTATTTAATGAGAGAAAGGAATAGTTTTTGATAATGAGTGACTGTATAAACAAGTTACATATACACAATCTATAAGATAACGTAATTATCATTAGAATAATTTACCAAAAATAATCCAACACTTACATACAGAACACCAAAGAGAGATTCTTTGACGAACTCTCTGAGAAATTAAAAAAAAACAAAAAATAAACCAGCAATAGTATTATTGTTATACTTGATTTATAAATGCATGATTGAACAAGTTTTATGGTAGAATATTACAACAGGACTGTTAAAGTACATGAAAAAAATGTAGAACATCGATACCTTTATGTCTCAGTTTGCCTGAATCTAATAAAATAGTTATTACAGAGTAATTCATCATTCACCGGAAATCACAATAGACGAAATAAAACTAGCCCTGAAAAAAGCTAAGAATAACAAATATCCAGGCGAAGATTGTGTAGTTACTGATGCAATCAAAATCGGGGACACTTGCCTACTTAAGAAAATAAAAAACCTTTTTAACATTTGCCTTTTGGGCAGTAATATATATACCCGACAAATGACACAATGCCGAGGTAATTTTATTGTACAAAAAAGGAGATCTCTATGAATTAGAAAACTATAGACCTATAAGTCATCTTAGTCATCTATACAAACTCCTTACAAGAATAGTAACGAATCGTCTTGAAAAAAAAACTTTCGATTTCTACTAAGCAAGCGGGATTTCGCACAGGATTTGGAATAAATGATTACCTACAGAGCATTAAAACGGAAATAGAAAAGACTATCGAATACAATCGACCACCCGTTCTGGCTTTTGTAGATTTCCATAAAGCCTTTGACACGGTAGAAATGGAGAAAATCCTGGAAGCACTACAGGCATGCCGCATTGACTACCAATATACAAGATTAATTTACATTTGGCAGAGGAGTCCGACAAGGTGATACATTATCACCTAAACTGTTTACCGCAGAACTAGAATATGCTTGTACAAAACTTAACTGGAAAGAGAAAAGCATGAACATTGACGGTAGAAGATTAACACATTTGAAATTTAGGAATTTAACAATTTTCACGCGGTTTTGAAAATTGGGCTTTATCACTGTAAATTCAATAGTGGCCGGTCAACGGAAGTGATACATTTTATTGATCTCATGAGAATTGGAAAAAATGACAAAAATCCCGCAACGTTTATTTATTTAACAGCTTTATAAAAATTCACTTCATTTGCGGCAAAAAGCAAAAATTGCATTCTAAAACTTTAAAACCCATTTAATTTTTGTTCATATGACACTGATCAAAAGATATCGAATTTTCACCGGCGGGATGATAACATTTTTGAGTTGAACTAACTTGAACATCATAATATTTAATAACAAATAATGTAAACTAAATTTAAACAATATTTAACAGGTTTTTACCTACATATTTAGTGGCACAATACATGTATACCTAGACACTGATGATGGAATATGGATTCCGAAAACGTTTTGTGATATAGCCCGAAAATTTTTTGTTATATATGGTATACAGCAAACTACAGGAACTATGATTCCTTGTGGATTATAAAATTTTTATTTAAAATTGATTTCGTGCCCATAACTTACATTCAAAATCGCCAGTTGCTTCAAGCGTTATTTTTGAGAACGGTTCATTCTACATAAAAAGTGATAATAAACATTTTGTTTCAAATTTATCCCAATTGCATTTTTTATTGGAAACAATTTTTCAACGGTGTACAGATTCTTGGTAAATCGATTTTTTCCGTTTCCCCCTTGCGAGTAGAGGTCTTTGCGGAAAAGCCGGGTTGTAGGAATAGTAAACTTTTTTAAATATTTTTGTGGTCGCAAAATTGACATTCTGAGCAAAATTTAGCTTGTTAGTCTCGTTTTTACAGATCAAATCTCTGACAACTGGACTAAACAAAAAAAAAACGAAAAGAAAACACGTGCAAAGGGAGAAAACAAGTGAAAATGATGTGACGACCCCGACAAAAAGAAAATTTTAACAAAACGTGGGATTAAATATCCTGATAGAATGATGAATTTTAGTAAATTGGTAACATCAATAATGTTTTGTGGAAATGCGGCTGGAGAAATGCTACCTCCATATAAATCCAATAAACTGTGGTCAACTTGGGTAGAAAATGGCCCAAATGGGGCATGAGGCAAAAAGTTTTACAGCTTTCAGTTACAGTTTTAGTTGTCGCCTAGAATACAAAACACTGAGTATTAACACCAGCTTAATCACAAAAAGCACCTTTCCAACCCTTTTGATAAAACTGGTTGAAATAATTAGTGTAAATGGCGGGAAAAAATTAAAAAGTGGTTTTAGAAAATGTGGCATTTTCCCCTAAACGCAGAGGAAGTACTAACCAGAATTCCAAACTATAAAACTTATGCTGCGCAAGTACCTTCGAGAGTAAGTGACGGTGTTTTAAATTTTGTTGCAAAAAAGGCGATTACAGACTACAGCTAATGGAGTTATTAAACGAAAAAGAAAAATAAAAATTGCAGCAGGAAAAAATAGCTGTGCTGAAGATGTTAAAAGCCAACAAGATACTGCAGTTGCAAAATAAGCGGATAAGAAGAAGCCAGTAAAAGAAAATGACACTACAAGAAAATCAAAAATCAAAATTTATGGAATGGCAGCAAAACGTAACATTGGAAAGAAAACTGAACAGTCGGACAATCTAGCCAATAATCAGATTTGCAAAACAGAGAAAGAAAATCTACAAAATGAGGTCCTTGGAGACGTTAATAACGAAGTTGTACTTGGCAGTAGCCTAGATCACGAAATCTTTAGACAAGCGACCATTGCTGCAGCTGGTTCTAGTGAATTGCCTTAACATAAGATGATAAAAAAAAACAAAATGTTTCAATAAAATACATGATTTTGGAAATACTGCAGCTACTACGTCTAATTCTGCATCTAATGAGAATAATGCAGACCTACAGGAGTTTTCCATTCGAGTTGGAGACTTAGTAATTGTATCCGACTGACTACTTGGGACAGCTTTTCAGAAAAAATCGATGGATTTGTAAGAGGTAGTAATAACTGTTACGGTTGGGTGCAAGTAATGGTACTGGGTGAAAGAAGTTTATGACAATGGCTCGAAGTCTCCTTAAGAAAATCATACCACTTGGGTAATATTGATTTCAGAGTCAGTGAAACTTGGAGATAACCGATATTTCTTTCCAGATTAAAAAAGCTTGTAAATCGTTTTATTGTTCATTTTTTGTTAAGAAATTATGTTTTTTGTGAACTTCGGGTCCTATGTAGAGTTTCATGTTAGTTTAAGTTTTTGTTTGAAATTTAAATAAATATTTTTATACCTAACAAAATGTTTGTTTATGATTTATCTTGTAAAGTGACCTTAGCCCAAACAATAATAATCACAGAGAATAAATGTAAAATGTAACTTGAGTCACAAGTCACCCGATGCTAGCAGATGACTTTGCACACCACATATTTATTTTTTTTATCATAAAATAAGCGCTTCTTTGGTTTTAGTACTTTTTGTAAAAAAAATTGTCAAAAACTCAAATAAAAATAAATAAAGAAACATTCTTTAATTTATTCAGAATACTGAAATCTACATTTAAACTTCGAAAGTGAGTCAAAGTCACCCGAAATTACGGTATATTAAATATTATTTTATCCACAACACGTTGTCATCAAAATAGAAGGTATTAAAAAAATTGTACTCAAATTTTACTATTTATAAATATACATGATTGGTTATATCCCGTAAAACCCTAGGTGTAAGGTAGCATAACTTTATGTTAAGAGAAGTTTTTGAAACTCCCAAAGAATAACCCTGCATAATAACGATTGTAACTTACTTGAAAATCTGTCGGAAAAGTTCAAGAAGTCTGAACTGAAGTAAGCAATTTCTGGCAAATTGGGCTCGATCTTCTCTTTAAAATACTCCATGGCCATCGTAGATAAGTCAAACATTTCATCAGTTACTTTGTAAGGCAAGTCCAGCTTGGGAGTGACTTTGATATAATGCAAAATATCGTTGACTTCATCTAAAATCTCGCCAGGAAAGAAGCAGCAATGTTTTCTTTCGATATGCTTTCCAAAAGTCATTTGCAAAAGTGTCAATCGCATATGTAGAGTTTCTATAATATCACTTTCGCAGGCAAGAAAATGACTACGTCTGGCCGATTCTCTTCGAGGCATTTTTGCTTTGATCTCTTGAAATCGTTGAAGCATTTGATTTTGATAACGTAGAAAGTTTGAATTAAGAATCTGTCCGCATACACGGTTTATAGTACGGGAAACCTGTAATAAAAATCATGCTTTAGTACACATAACAAAAGTAAACAAAAATAAGTTTACAATGAAAAACTTTCTTTTTTCTATCATTTCCTAGCGCAGGTACTAACACAAAACGTCTATAATGCACCTTATACCTGCCGAACAGGTTTATAATTAGGTATCTATAAATAATATAATAATCTATACAACAATAATATTGTATAGATCTTTTACCTTAACGATTATCTTATGCGTTTCTAAAAAGAGAACAGGTAGACCATTTTTTGAAAGCAACGACCATTTCTAGGACTTTAACAACTCTATACAAAAGAACGACGAGCACAAGATATTTAAGTTTAAGGTTTTAGTTTCTATTAATATCTTATACCTTATACTTGATTCTTTAAGGCTTCAATTTTAAGATATATTAAAAAAGTTCAACATTTTATCATTAATAAAAAACTGTTTGAAAAAGGGCTTATTTTTAGCATATAAACATTTATAAAAACTTTGATGTTTTTTATACCACGCGCTTGTAAGAAGGCTTGGTGAAAAATACAATCTAAAAAAATGAACCTCTTATGACTAATGGACCCAGATAACATTTTTTTCCTAAAATCATTTTGATTGTTTATTAACACTCCTCCTCCTCAGTCCTAATCCCTTTTGGGATGTGGTGACACCAACCTTCTCTGTCCTTGGTTAGTTGTTCGGCTTCATGTAACCCTTGGTTCATCAATATTTTTGTTTGGTCTACCCAACGGCTTGGAGATCTTCCCCTAGGTCTCTTTCCTTCAACCCTATCCTCGACTATCAGCAATGTGTCCAAAATACTGCAAATATCTCTGTTTTATTTGTTTAAGCAATCTATCCTTTACTTTAAGTGGTTCTAATATCGATACGTTAGTGCAATTATCAATCCAGGATATTTTCAACATGGTATATCATGGTTTATCAGTTTATTTTTATCCGCTTTCTTTCTTCTCCTTGTGGTGCCTATTCGTTACGGATGTTGGCAACTAGCATGGCAATTATAACTTTATTGACCGCAGCTCGAAATAGTGAAGTGGTCAAGGAAAACCATTTTCGTAAATTCGTAAATTCTGGAGCCAAGATATTCTTCTTCTTCCTGGTCCTCTCTTTCCGTAGACCTTTCCCTGTAATATAAGTTGTAGCAGGTTATATCTATGGTCGTTTCGCATTATATGTCTAAGATATTCTAGCTTGCGCTGTTTCACTGTGGATATATTTTCCCATCTCTTATCCATCCTACATAGAACCTCAATGTTTGTTACTCAGTCCACCCAGGAGATCATCAGTATCCGTCTATAACACCACATCGCAAACGCTTCGTCCCATGGATGCCTCAAATAGTGTCCATGATTCAACCCCATAGAGCAACACTGTAAACACGTAGCATCTCAATAAACGGATTTTTGTTTTTAAGGGTAGGTCGTGGCTCTTAAATATCCGCTTTCTTTAAGGTCCACGTTTCGGATGCATATGTGGCTATGGGAAAAATGAGTGCCCTTACCAGCCTTAGTTTTGTGTGTATTGTTATGCCAGAATTTTTCCAAATTGTTACCAGTTTCATCATAGCTGTTCTAGTACCTTTCATCTACTTTCAACTAGTACCTTTCATCTACATCTCTAGTACCTTTCGCATGTGTTCGCTGTAGATATTAAACAGAGATTATGCATCCCTGCCTGACACCTGCCTCTGTTCTGAAAAGATCGGAATGGGTGTTGTTTATTTTTACTGTGCACTTATTATTTTCATATAGACTTCTAATTAGTTGAATTAAGTGACGGGGCAGTGGCGGCTGGTCAGGGTCGGCAGTGCCGACCCACACCTTTATAGATATAGAGTTTTTTTAATATTTAATTTAATCAGTATTTCAATAAATAGTTTTTGTGAAATAAAAAAATATCTGTGAGATAATAAAGACTAAATTTTATTCATGGTTTTAAAAGAATTCGTCCAATCTGAGCGTTAAGTGATCCCTGCGTAGACACTTTTCAAATTAATGATCCGATATCTGAAACATCCATCCGCCTGTGAATTTTTAAAAAGGCACGTTTTGTTTTTTCGGCAAGCCTATCCCAACCTTACGGTAAAAATCAACGGAATATTAGTTGATTAGAAACCAAATATACATGTCTTTCCATATGCACTTAATTACCAATTACCTTGATAACAACTGATATCGGAGTTGTTATCAACAGGTCCTCGAAGACACTTCGTCTCAGGACCATTTTACCTATGTAGGGTCATACGTCGCCATGTTACCAATTCCAACGCTAACTTAAACATCATAATTTGTAACCACATATATTGTAGAACAACTGTAAATTTATATCATTTAAAGGGTTTTGACCCATATATTTTGATGGCTTATAGGATGTATACCTCGTTTACACTGATGATGGATTTAACAATCCGAAAACGTTTTGTAATATATTTGTGATACCCGTTTGGGCATTTTATTATATACCTTTTATAAAGGATTTGAAATAAATTTTTTGTGACATATGGTATACAGCCAGCTACAGGAACTTAAGTTTCCAAGTGAAAAATAAATTGGTAGGGCAAACTTATGACGGCGCTGCCGTGATGTCTGGTGAATTAAATGGTCTATAGGAAAAAGTTAAAACTATTGCACCGCAAGCTTTATTTACTCACTTTCATGCGCATTGAATGAATTTAGTTTTGCAGGATACATGTAAAAAAATTAAAGAATCTCGTCTTTTTTTGCCAGTTTAAGCGGATTTGCTTCATTTTTGTCAAGCTCGCCTAAACGGACTAATGTTTTAGAACAGTTTGTTTCGAAAAAAATGCCAACAGTTTGTCAGACGCGATGGAATTTTAAATCTCGATTAGTTTTCACTGTAGCAGATTTTCGTGAACACCTTTTGGAAGTTTTTGATTTTATTATTGAATGTGACGTTTTGAAAGTGATGATATCTCGATCCGTGAAGCAATCGATTTAAAAACTTTATTAAATGATTACTCTTTCAACATATTTTTAAATACTTTTCAGAAAGTGTTTACGCAAACCGATTTGATATTCAATGTTGTTCAAAATCAGTTAACTGACATTATTCATTCCAAAAATAGAATAACAAGACTGGTGCAAAATCTCAGAGATTTTCGTAATGATAGTAATTTCCAGTATATATGCAGCGACGTTTTGGACTCGCTTGATATTTCCGAACCCCCCCAAAAAAAGACAAAGGCATGACACAGAAACAGATCTCGAAAAACGAGTATATTTTGAAATTTTGGATACTATTATTATGCAAATAGATACTCGTTTTTCGAATTTTGAAGCTTTGCAAATTTTTGACCTCTTTGACGATTCAAAATTTAAAAGTTACGCCAAACAATTTCCAAGATATTTATTAGACAGGCTAATTAAAAATTATCCATCATTCTTTAATAAATAAAATTAGAAAATAAATTAAAAGTTTTATATGCTGATACAAATATTTTTGGAAGATAGGATAAGTTACAAGATATGTATAATTTTATATACTACAATTCATTACAACAAACTGTTACCGAAATTAATAAATTATTGTCATTAATTCTCTTATTACCACCAACGTCTGCCTAAAATGAACGAGATTTCTCTTGCCTCAAAAGAATAAAACGTATTGTCGAAATACCATGAAACAAGAGAGAATGTCAAGCTTGTATCAAATGTCAATAGAAAAAAAAACTTTTAAAATCTTTCCAAAACTCTAATAAATTTTACGATGACGTTATTACCCATTTTGCTACTTCCAAACAACGTAGACTAGAGTTAATACTAACAACGTACACTATAAACATGTTTGGGTTCTAAATTTATAGGAAAAAACAAAAAACAAGAAAACAAAAAATCTCCTATGATGATTGAAGTCTTTATTAGACGGTATACCTATCTGAGGAGACAAAAAATACCTTGTCGACCTTGTCTCTCAAGCCACGAGCCGCCACTGTGGTGGGGTGTTCCCATTTCCGCTAGTATGGACCATAGCTGCTGCCATTTGACTTTATCGAAGGCCTTTGTGTAATCCAAAAAGCACATAAACATAGGAGTATTGAATTCATGAGTTTTTTCGATTAGCTGTCTGACATTAAGGATGTGTTCTCTTGTGCCTTTTCCTGGGACAAATCCCGCTTGTTCTTCTGATATCTGAGGCAATAGAAAAGGTTTTTGTCTTTCTCCGGTTTTCCAAATCTTTTTGCAGATCATATGCATAACATTTACTCCAACATCTCCAGTCTCTTTTAAAATTTCTGCGGTGATCTGGTCTGTGCCAGGAGATTATTAAAACTAAGAGCTGACAAATAAACATATTATAAAGTGGAAAGAAAATAACGAACAAGATACTTTTAATGAAGACTTGTGTCGTGCACTAATCGCTTAAAATATAATACCGTTTTCAAAATTGAAATGAAAACTGCAACTTCTTTTTTAAAAAATATTGTAAATTGAATATTCCAAGTGACTCTAAAGTGAAAACACGTCAACTCTTTGTACTCGTCAGTAATAGATAATATAAAAACTAATATTAGTGACAAACTAATATTAGTGCAACAATATCACGTTTTGTACAAGAAGAAATATCAAAATATTTTCTTCCTGCAGATGTTCTTAGACATAAATTATTGCTTTTTTTTATCCGATGCTGCATCATATAGGATAATGCTTTATTTCTTTTTCCGGTATACAGATGTCTCTGTAAATCTAAATGCCGATAGTTTATTATCATGTATGCAGCGAGCACGTTTTGAAAACCGGCCCCGTTTTAAAAACGGTAATTAATTTGTACAAAACTGTGTCCGGTGATCAATAATTTTAAACAATGCATGCATTTGTAGACGTTGCTTCAGGTATCTTAGTCCACGAGGTGTTTTTGGATATATTCTGAATTCGTAGACTGTTTTTATACAACATAACCTAGAAATCGTTGCCTTTAACATTGTGAACATATTGCCGTGCTATTCACCATTTCACCCATGGTAAATGGAAGAAATGGTGAACTCGTCCATTTCTTTTTTCTTAGTCCATTTTTTTTATTGGCTTGGTTGATTTGCTTTGGTTTGTCGGTGATTTAAAAAAACCAAACTGTACTCGTATTTCTCGGCATAAGTAAAACTTCTATTCTCATTGTTTCATGCAAAGATGCAAAGAAGAAGTTTTATAAAAGGCAAAAAGGATCCGTCCATGCAAACTGGACAGAAGAACAACTTAAAGATGCCTAAAAGCAGTACAAAATGGAATGACCCTGAATGAAGCATCAAATGAGTTTGGCATTCAATGGTCAACGCCGAAGAGAAGAAGAGCAAGGGGGTGATTTGGAAAAACAGCTTTTAGATGGGCTGCCTATCTTAACACAGGAGTGTGAGAAGAAAATGGTAAAACATATCATAAGATTACAAAAATTCGGATTTGCTCCGACTAGAACAGAAGTACGTACCATGGCATATAAACCGAGAAATGTAATTTGCACCATCAATTTAACCGTGAAAAGGAAAATGCCGGAATGGATTGGCTACATTTACTTTTAAAACCAAATCCAGAACTCTCAATCCGCAAATCGGAAGGAGTTTCACAAGCATGATCAAGGGGTTTAACAAGAAAAATGTTGCAAACTACTTTTCATTGCCGCAGAACATCTTGATAGAGCACAACCTCTTTGATAAACCGGGAGATGTATTTGACGTAGATGAATCCGGACTTCAACTAAATAATAGACCAGGTTAAGTGGTGGCAGCAAAGGGATCTAAGAGCGTATCTGCAATAACATCCGTAAGAGAGTATGTTTTTACCTCCAGCATGTGTTTTAAAGGAAAAAAAATGAAAAAACCGAGTATAAGGACCAAAGTCTGGTTCCAAATTTTCATGTAACGTCGGCGTACGTAAAAACTGACATTTTCCTTTTATGGTTAAGGATCAATTTTGCACCGAGGAAGCCTGAGGTAGTGATCATGCTTATTTTGGATGTACATAGAACCCATTGCAGCAGTAGGGATACATTACAGTTTGCAGAGGAAAATAACATAATTTTGCTGTCTACCCAGCCACATGAGCCATTATCTGCAGCTACTAGACAGAGCATTTTTTAAAGCTTTAAAATCCTATTATTACAATGCTTGTAATTTCTACATTAAAATGAATCCAAATAGAAACATTCCGAGACTAGTGTTTGGAGGACTGCTTACAAAAGCATGGGTACACGCAGCTACGACAGACAAGGCAATATCGGGATTCAGAAGTACAGGAATCATCGCGTTTAATCCCGATGCAATCTCTGAATATGCCTTTTTAACATCAGATTCAGATCAACCACAGAAAAACAACGAGCGACGTGAAAATAGACCTACTTCACCTCAACCAGGTTGCTTGAACTGGTAGGAAACCATGAATTCTTCAGAAAAACCAACAGAAGTAGATAAGGATCAGGAACATGAACGCAGACAAACTTCATTACAACTGGGTTGTGCGGAAAATTCACAGGGAATCGTATTCTTCATCGAAAGCGCCAGATCTGATCTTTATCCTAGATAAAGTTACATTTGCAAGGAAAAACTCGCCAACCTACGAAACAGAAAACGACAAAACAAATAATAATAAAACAAAGCAATTAAGTCAGTGAAGAGTTGACCAAATGCTAAAAGGAAGTTCAAAGAAAAAACAGTATCCAAAAATGAGACTACCAAGGAAAATACCAAAACCAAGCAACCTAAGAAACGAAAATCGTGTACCACTGACACCGAATCCGACTCATCGCTAAATATCCACTTGTAAGACGATGATGACGACTTATGAGCAATTTACACTCTAAAACTTGAACAGTGAACCTGTTAAACGTAGACATTTTTCAGATATTTATATTACAATACCGTTTTATTTTTTTTTTTTCGAACGATTTTAACAAACCACTGTATTCCTCAGATATGCTTTAAATTGACTTATCCCACTTTAATTTTCACTGGCTCAATTCTCAAAAAATTAATTTATTCTATACCTTTGCCCCTCACTGTATATGTATACGATGTGCAATGAAAAAGATACAATTAAATTTGACGCATTATCGTTTTGAAAGTAGAATCATACCTTAAAAATACTAAATGATAATAAAATCATACTTACCAGTCTTAACTGGCATATATTCTTAAATTTTAAGTAGCTAAATATCTTTTCTAAGACTTCTTGGGGTAAGTCAAGAATGCTAATGAATTTTGATTGCACTGGTATTGTAGGAGCTCTGCTATATTGCACAGTACTACTGCACCCCGCAGTAACAGTAGTTGTGGTACTGGTACTGTTTCTAGTAAATTTTGCAGGCCCTTCACTGGGAGACTGGCTTCCATCACCAGTCCCATTGTTCCCTATTGTCATTTGCCTTGTAGAAACCATTGTTCTAGACTTTTGATAACTTCAAATTTGTTATGCAATCTGAAACAATTAAAGCTTTATAAATATATATTCACGAACAAGAACATACAAAAATATCTACTTTGTAAAGGAAAGAATGTGTTGTCAGTTATATTCATTTTATATTGTTATTGATAAGTCAGTCATTGATGTCAATCAAGCTCAATTTTTGATATGAAAAATATCTATCCTGTCACAAATAGCAAATCCCACAGCTGTTCATAGCTATAGTTTTGTCAAATTAAAATAAGAATACTAAACAGTTTTGAGGATAATTCGGATATATCAACTATTGTAAGAAAGCTAAAAGTAATAATAAGAAATACAGTAGAAGGTAGGTTTTGATAGTTTAAGATATAGTGCAGCGGCTGGTTGTTCTGGTAATTAAATATGTAATTAAAACATTTATTTTTTATTTAGGTACATATAGTTAAAGCAGTACATATCGTATATGCTAAAATTAATTTTGATCATTTTTTATTTGCATATCACCTTACAGGAACCGCTTAACGCATGCTTGCATTGATAACTGATGTATAACAGCGTTTTATTGTTAGAATTATTGACACTAACTCAACTTTATAAAAAACAGAGTTAAATCTAAAATTAACGTAAGTGTACAGTTCAAAATTTTTAAAATTCAGCAAAAAATACAAGCATGTCTTTGCTCTTTTTTTTTTTATTTATCTCAAAAATACGAAAAATAAAATATATTAACTTTTTTAAAAGGAGTCTTTTCATTATTACACTTGTAATTTATTGGAATATTGATTACACAACAGAACAATTGAAGGGTGTTACTGGAAAAGGAGCCAAGCGCCAAAATCGTAAAATTTGCATTATATGTACCAAGCGCCTTCAAGCAACTATATTTAAATTCTAGCAAAAGATCCAACCGACATATATACTCTAGCTCCCTCTACCGATTGTCGAACCAACTGACAAACTGACAAAAGAGTGTTCGCCCGTTTATTAAAAGAGATCCAAGGTACAGACGGTGGTTGGTTCTTTGTAAAAAAAATGCTTTTTATTAACATTTGGCGCCTGGCCCGTTTTAAATATTTTACGCCGGCTTACGACACGTTTAACTTCCCAGTGTTTTCTTAAGTTTTAAGCAAAAAAAAAATGTCTTTAAGAGGAAAAAAAATACTAGCGATGGTAGTGAAAGAGACTAGTAGTGCAGAGCAACAATATTGTGTTACGAATAATGCATATTTAACTAAAAAAGTAAGTAAACAATTTTTCTAGGTTATGTTTTTTCTGTTACTAATAACTTTTATATTAATTGAACACATTAGTTTTTTTCCAACTTATGCGTCCCACTACTGCAGGGGCGAAACTGAGCTAAGTTCTTGCCTTTCGATTTGACTCTTAATAAAATGTACAATCTTTTTTTGGAAGACCAAAACTTAAAAATTGCTTTTTCTACCTACAAAAAAAAATTTTACGAAAATTTCAATCTAAAAAGGAAAGCACCTATCAAAGATACATGCAACACTTACGATGAGTTAAAAACAAAAAAAAAGTTGTCAAAATGACCCTGAGTTATTAAGCAATACCAATATTTTACACAACCAACATTTAGAAAAAGCAGAACACGCAAGATATGCTATGAAAAATGATTTAGAAAAAGCTAAATCGAGAGAACATGTTAAAACAGAAACACTTACTTATGACATAGAAAAAGTCATTGGGCTCCCAAAACTATCCACTAACATAATCTATTATAAAAGACAGCTTTCTCTTTACAATGAAAGAATTTACCAAGGATCCAATAATCTGCCATATTGTTTTATATGGAAAGATGCTAAATTTATGGTTTGATTCTTGCGGTGGTCAGAACCGGAATCTAAAAATTGTCCTTTTTCTCAAAAGTGTACTAGAAACACATAAATCATTGAAAACAATAAATTTTAAATATCTGATGCCTGGCCATAGTTACCTACCCAATGACTCTAATTTTGCAAAGATTGAAAGTGCTTTAAAAAAACAAATTAGAATCTACACACTTAAAGAGTTTAAGGATGTGGTGGTAGAATGTTAAAAAAAGCGTAAGTTTATCGTTCACGAAATGGCAAAAGAAGATTTCCTAGGCAGTAAAGAAATTGAGAAACTTATTACTAACAGAAAAATAGATATACTAGGTAATAAAGTCAGCTGGTTAAATGCCAGAGTAATTAGAATTATTAAAGATAAACCCTTTTCAATATTTTTTAAATCAACTCATGAAGAGGGTCAGTTTGAAGAGGTTAACATAAAAAAAGGCATAAGAGGAAGACAACAAAAATATACGCACATTTTTTTTTCTTCACAATTAACTTTTATATCCAGAAGGAAAAGCTATTTCCGACAAAACATTAGCTGATATAAAAAGTTTATTACCTCTTATTCCCAAAGATGTTCAGGATTTTTATAAAAATCTTCAACATAGAAATTTCGATGATGACATAGATGGGTTTGGTGATGAAGCTGACTTTGAATTCGGAGAATAAGATTAGAATATATTACCACATATTATGAGGTTCTGCGAGCGCTTTACTTTTGTATTATTGTTTATTTTTAAATAAAAATTGTTATATAAAAAGATCCATGTCTCATTTTCCTATATATACCAAAAGAACCAAACGCCAAAATATTAAAAAAAAAAATATTTTTTTTATTTTTAATTTTTTTAAAACTACATTTAATTCGCACTTGAGCTATTCATATTACCTTCAAAACTTCTTTATATTTGGATACAGTGATTTATAGTACAATTATAAATTTAAGTGCGATTTTCTCGAAATATAAAAAGTGGCTATTGGCTCCTTTTCCAGTAACGCCCTACAATTAACAAGGAATCGCTTAAAATACTTATATATTTAATTAATTTCTCCTTTTTTGTGTCACTCTGTTAATATTCATACTCCAGTCGTCAGAGACAAAAGTGGCACCGAACCTCTAAAAATCATACGAACAAGCTGAATTTTGCCAAGAATATTAATTTTGGGACCCCAAATAAGATGCAAAAAAGTTTACCACTTTACCTTAGAGCTTACCCCTTAAACCGCAGCCATAGGGGGGTAAAAACGCAACAAAATCGATTTTTTTAATGTAGCTGAGATAATATTAAACAAAAATGTTTCTCAGCACTTTTTCAGAACCGTTCTCCTCACAAACAACGTTCGAAGCGATCGACGATTTTAAATTTCAGTTATGGGCGCGAAATCAATGTTTAATAAAATTTGTATCAGTTCGATGGTAAAAATTCGATATCTTTGGATTCAAGTGTCCTATCGACAACAATCAAGATGCGTTTTAAAGGTATAGTTCTGCTATCGTATGCAATTTGTATTTGTATTTTGCCGCAAATAAACAGAGTTGTTAAGAGGTGTTAAATAAATAAACGTGACGCGATTTTTGCCATTTTTTATTATTCTCATGAGATCAATACAATATATACCTTTCATAAACTGGACTGGTCACAAAGTTTCGATTACTGAAGCCTAACCTTCAAAACCTATAGCATGAAATTTTAGTTTTGAGTTTTGGCAACAAATGTGAGGCATTTGAAATGTGCTTAAAAAACGTTGGAGTTAAACTTTCATAGAACAAACGATCTAAAACGTTTAAATTTTTTTTTCAGTTAAACTAGTTCCTTTTTCAAAAGAATCAAACTTCTGCTATATACTGCATCCAAAACTGTCTTCTTAAATGCATTTCCCGTGACGCGCGATTGCTTGTAACGTAAAACATTAAATTCTCCGTTTTTTATTCATATTTCAAATGCCGCATATTTATTGCCACAACTTAAAATTGAAATTTCATGTAATAGGTTTTAAAGATTGATTTCTAAAAATAGAAATTTTACTACGACTGGTCAATGAAAGTGATCAATTTTATTGATCTCACGAGAATCGTAAAAAATGGCAAAAATCGTGCAACGTTTATTTAACACATTTATAAAAACTGAGTTTATTTGCTTCCAAATACAAAAACTGCATACGAAAGCTACACTCTTTACTTTTAAAACGGATCTAGATTTATGTCGATAGGATACTTGGATCAAAAGATATCAAATTTTTACTGTCGAGCTGATATAAATTTTACAGCAATCCCTCTTCAACCGTGGGGGTTGCGTTCCGAGGAGAAAGGCGCGGAAATCCAAAGAAAAATATGAAATATAATCCCAATTAGGATACTAGTATATATGTAGATATACGATGAAACAATAAAATAAGCAGTTAAATTGTCATATTTAATAAATGTATACCTATGTGTACATATTACGAGTATAGAATGCTTTAAACACTTCATTTTTAAAAATATGATAAGATGATTGACTGCTTCATTTTCTTCCCAATCTCCTTTTGCGCTTATTTGTACGGTACCAATAAGCCTTCTAAGCCATTCTTGAAATCAAACTCCTTTTCATAGAAAGATCCATGTCAAAAACCACATCTTGAAGTTTTTGAGCAGACGATAATATCGTGTTAATGTTGCTTAAAGTGAGAGACATAATTGCCGTTTCGACTTTTACTTCTTGTGATTTTGACGTTATGTAAAGAAACTTTTTTTTTTAATCTTGCGGACCATCCTTTACTCGCTTGGAAACTAGAAGATTCGTTGTCAACCTTTAGATTTTCGTAAAGACGAAGAGCCTTTATCTCCTTTTTTGTTTGTCCCCTATCTTCGATCCAAAGGGACAGTGGTTTTTCCATGTTTTCCAATGTTTGATATCGCGAAAAATAAGTCACTTTGTTGCTTGAACTAGAATGAATGGTTTTCTTACTCTTTGATCCTTGGAGTAGATTCATTCAATTTAAAATTCTTTGCAATTCTGACTCATTACAATGCCAAGGTTCCATCTGTGAACATAAATAAAACAAAACTAGAATGACATGGTTTCGGGTGACACATGAAACCTTGTTACTCAACCAATAATTAAGATTTGTAGTTGTGTTATTAAAATGTTTGTATACTAAAATACTTTTACATAAAAA